TAAATACTATTTAATAACTCTAATTATTCAGTTGTGTTTGATGAATTATTTATTTTCAGGGTAAACTTAATGAAATTAATTTAGTTAAAGCTGTAGAGTTTGTAAAAAGCTGTCAAAATTTTGATGGAGGTTTTGGATCACGACCGGGAGCTGAAAGTCATGGTGGCTTAATCTATTGTTGTGTTGGATCATTATCTATTGCTGGTATGTGGTCACTATGAAAAAATAACAATAAATAACATGTCTACCAAACACATTCTTTTGTAAAAATTTTCAACGGTTTTCAATCTTCCATTGTAAATAAACCAAAAATAAATGTTAAACAATTATAGTTATTTGAATTTAAACTAATTTTTTTGGTAGCCCATGCATATTATTATAAAATTATTAAGTTACCATGATATATAATATTTCATCCTATAACATGTATTTAAAACAAAGCTGGGCAAATAAGTAATTGTTTTTCGACTAATTAAAGTTAAATCACTTTAATATAAAAACTAATGAATTTAAAATTTTAGTTAGTTTTTGTTATAGCTAAAAATATAAATTTAAAACTTGTTCAAAGGTATAGTAAGTTTTACATTAAATTAATAATTGCCTAACTAAAACTATTTGTAGATGGTTGATTAATTCAATTGTTCAATAATTGATAATTTTATCTAATGGTTCAAGTATTAAAATTAATCAATAGGAAATAGGAATATTGAAATCTAAAATATGTAGACATTGGATAAGCAGTTGCAGCAGTGGTGGTAAATTTGGCAGTCTCTATAATATACAAGCGTAAGCCAATTACACACCATTGTTGAAATCAATAAATTAAAAAATTAGAACATATTTGACTTTTAATCTAATCATATTGGCAAGTATAGATTTTTGATTCTTTGTAATCAAGAGAAATAATTGAAGTAATAATGATAGAACTATTCATTTTTAAATTAAAAAGTATATATCTGATTATTAAAATATTTATACCATTGAATTTTTGTTTTGATTTATATCATGTATATTGTATAGTAATTTGTATCGTTAAGAACTTTTGAAAAATGTCTAAATTCTAGGAACCTGGTTATCTATACTTATAAGTTATAATTATTAAATGTTTTAGGACGATTAGATTTAGTCGATGCTGACACATTGGGTTGGTGGTTAGCAGAAAGGCAATTACCATCTGGTGGTCTTAATGGACGTCCTGAAAAATTACCAGACGTTTGTTATTCATGGTGGGTGTTTTCTACATTAAATATTCTAGGACGCGACCATTGGATTGATAAAGAAGAATTAAAAACTTTTATCTTAGCATCTCAAGTAAAGCTCTATATAACCTTTAAATAATATACAGAGTGATTGATTTATCAAACAACACTAATTTTTTCAAAAAGTATTGACTTTTTTCAAATTTTTTTTTTCAAAACTGTAGATTTACACTTCTTGAATTGGATATTTTTTTTATATTTTTCACCCTTATATTTATTAGGTAAACCACTATCAACTTTTGATTTTCAAATGGTAACATATACTTAACATTTCATAAATTAATAAAGCTATTTTTTAATTAATTATTACGCTAAAATTTCGAATTTAGCGCTAGTAGTTTATGAGTTATAGGTATTTAAAGTTTAGATTGGCGGAGTGGAGTGGTACGGGGTTAYCCCGCAAAATKTTTGTCCACTACTCYGCTTGTCTAAACTTAAAATACTTATAACTCATAAACTACTAGTCCTAAATTCGATTTTTATGAATCAAAATACTTGGAAAAATATTTTGCTTAGGAATATGAAATTAAAAAACTGTTGTCATCCAAAAAGGTGAAAAAACTTAAAAAATGGTAAGGATAAAAAATGTTTAAAAATATAATTTTTTTAATAAAAGCGTTGGTTTTTTAACAACTTGAAACTATGTAAAAAGATATTTTGAAAAAAGTCAATACTTTTTTAAATAATGAATGTTGTTTGATAGAAGAATCACTCTGTATGGTTGTGCGTATAATATTATATGATTTATGGTCAACAGGATAATGAAGGAGGTGGATTTAGTGATCGACCTGGAGATGAACCAGATCCTTTTCATACTCTGTTTGGTCTTGCAGCATTATCATTAATGTCATATGATAAAATTTTACCAATAGACCCTACTTATTGCATGCCAAAAGCAGTTATTAACCGATTAGGATTAAAACCTCAAACATTATCCCGACCTTAAAATATAAGTTACCAAAGATTACTACTACAATTTATTATTTTAATGTTAATGTTGTGTTAATTATATTACGCACAATATTTATAAAAACTCGTATCTTGTAGATTTTACAAACAAATTAATTATATTGTAATATTTGCTACCTGTTATATTCTATACTTCTACATCTACACTATATTTTAATTCTACATTTTAATTAAAATTTATATAAGTATTATTTATTAATACAATTTGTATACAACTTTCATTTAAGGATACATATCTTAAAATGTCTTATTGTGATTATTTGTGAAATATTAATTTTTTCTTTACATTTTGTTATGATTTATGATATAAGTATTATCATTTTATCACATTTTTTTCAATATTTCCAAATTACTATACCTTTTCATACAATTACGTAAAAATAAAAAATTATGTAGAGCTCTTTTAAAATAATATAATTATAATATTATGTTTCATTTGGCTAATAGGTGTTGTTGTCCTAAAACCCTTCAAGAGCRATTCATTTTGAATCTAAGAATTTTAGTGGTAAAATAACTGGTAGCACTCTCTTTTGATCATCAAATAAACAACCTTTACTRTTACCAACCATACAGTATAGGCTTTTTAAGTACCTATATAACCTTTGTTTTTCATAGGTTTTCATTATAAATTATTAAAATCTTTTATCATAAGATATTTAAAGTGTCTGTAAACTCTCTAGTGTTTTTTCGTTGTATATTATTACAATTAATTCAATTTTATACTTATGATTTAATCAGAAAACAATTTAAAAATTGTTTTAACTAACTTCAAGTAACAATAAGTGCTACTTTATATTATGTAAAATTAAAATAATAACAACTCATTTGTAGGTTGAAATTTTCTCTAAGACATTCAAATAAGAGACACTAKAAGTATCCCAATACTAGATTTGATATTATCAGAGATAAAAAAGTGAAATGAGTATTTGTGTAATCTTTATGTTGATACAATCAAATTCATAAATAAAAATAAGTTTGTAAATTCAAAATTGTAGATAATCTATTATATATAATATTAACAAATAACAATTACTTTAATAAATAGGTGTATTAAACGTTCTGACTTTATAATCAAAACTATATCATAATTTATTATGCCTATGTATAGGGTGTCCCACAGAGATCTGACAAATGAAAAATTCTTGTTCTAATCAATATTTTTTAAAAATTTCTTTTAAATATAATTCATAGACACTTGTACTACATTTTTTATTTTTAAAGACTGAAAATAAAAAACTTAAAAATTGAAGATTTAGAAAAAATTATATAGTAAAAACACTTATTTAAGTCGCATAGCTAATTTTTTACAATTTTTTTATATATAAATATTTTCATTATGTAAATTATGATCTAGTTTATGTTAGAAACATTTTAATTTAAAAAAATGAGTATTGACCAAATAATATTATTATAATAAAATAGTAAATACAATAAATAATTAATTCGATTTTAACATGAACCTATTAAATGTTCATATAAAATATTTTTTGAAATTAAAATGTTTCTAACATAAACTAGATCGTAATTTACTTAATGTAAATATTGATATTTAAAAAAATTGTAAAAAATCAGCCATTTGACATAAATAAGTGTTTTTACCATATACATTTTCCTGAAAATCAGATTTACAAATTGGCTATATTGAATATTYCGAAWAAAAATTTTATCAATTTTTAAGTTTTTTTATTTTCAGTATTAAAAAATAAAAAATGAAAAATGTAGCGCAAGTGTCTATGAATTGTATTTAAAATAAATTTAAAAAAATATTGATTAAAATAAAAGTTATTTAATTTGTCAGATCTCCGTGGAACACTGTATAGTATCAATGATTAATTTCATGATTTATTTGTTGAATGAATTTTGATTTTAAAGTTTGTATTTATTCTATTTAAAAATTTGTAACTTTTAATTTTTCAAGTATAAATAAATAAAAATATGTTAATTATGAAATATTTAAACTAATTAATTTTGACATGGATTTTATTTTAAGTGATTAATTTTGCGCATTCGGCCATACCTTGAATTAAAAAATATTTTTAATCATAACTAATTTCAAAGGATATAAATGTATATCATTTTTGTGAGACTTATCCATTAAAAAAAAACTTTTATAGATAACTTTGAAACTGACAAATTCTGATTTCATCATTGTTCTTAACTTGATGAAATATATATGTTCCTGAAAATTTTTTTTCCAAAAATTGCTTGGGAATTAAACTGTATTTTTATGCCATATTATTTCAATATATTTGTGTAATAGTAATTACTGATTAGTGTTTAAAATGAAGTAATATTACCTTGGTTGTGTACAGCTAGCATAGGGGAATCTAGTTTTTGTATATCATTTGATATTTTTATAAAATATTATATTATAGTGTCTAATACCTATAAATAATAATACTCATATTTAAATAAGCCCTTATGTATGGTTTGCTAATTTAAAAAAAAAGTCACGAGGAGATATGAAATTCAAATCTTCCCTCTTCTGTAATTATGCCACTGTTTTCTTATTTATATTCCTTGTTCAATGAATATTTTTTAATTTTTTATTCATATTTTTTGAAGGAGCTTAATGGTTTATAATGGTTAAATCTTCTATTTGCAACATAAATTAAGCCATTTTCTAAATGCAGACAATATGCAATGTTTGAAAAATTTTAATAAAAACTCATTGATTTATTAATACTAACTGATGTAGTAACATAAAATCAAAGGTAACCATAACAATTTAGCAAAACAAATTTTCTAAAAAAACTTTATAGAAACAAAACATAATACAATCATGCATTTAGTTATTGAAAACAATATAATTTATATTKTACATTTTACCATCATAAAATAAGTTCTTAATTTTTAATTTTGACTATAAAACAGGTTTCACAACATTAAATCTAGTGTTGTAATACATATTTTGGTTATAAGTAGGGTCTGGATGTTTATGACTTTAAAATTTTTTTTTCTTTTATTGTTTTGCACTCATGCACATCATAAACCAAGTTATAAATTCATTTTGTATGGCATACAATCAGATACATTTAATTATATTTTGTATATTTATAAGTTTTAAGGATATTTTTATGTTTTCAATACTTATTTTACATATTTTGATAAAAACAGATGTTACAAAAAACTTTAACCTTTAAGATCAAAAATTWAAATTTTCATAATCTAAATTCTAAATCTATTTATTTTTTTATACATTTGTATGATAATTTTAAAAAATGTAGGTAACATATTTTCATGTCATATTTTATTGATATAGGACATATTTGCATTCATTTTCGACTTTTTAAGGTCATAAACTTCCTAATCCTAGTTATAAGTTGAAACTTAAGCATACACTGTATACCTAGTTGAGAAGTAATTAAGTTGTGTGTTGTATAATTGAAATGAATAAAATTTACTTTTGTTGACTGCAGTGAGGAGTGACTGTCACTATATTAGAGGTAACAGCCAACATCAGTATCAATTTATAAATATATATATAAGGCAATTATTTTTTTTTTCAATAACAATAATTATTTTACATTATTTGCTGGAAAATTTTTCTAAATTTCATGGTCCTATAGTTGGTCAATTATTACTATGCAATAATTGTATTATACAATTAATGTCATTGTYCATGTCTCTACAGCTTTTGTTTAAATAGTTTTCTAAATGTATTTTTATAATATTAGGTGTAGACCAAGTCAACCAATTTTAAATAAATATTAACTAATATTGATATTTAACATTTGATTTTGAAAATATTTATTTACATACACTTTGAATTGGTTTAAATACTCATTAAAATAGTTAGTGAAACATAACAGTTAAATAGGAAATAAATTAATTGGCACAAAAGCATTATGGTTTACTACCTAAGCATTATTTTAAAATAGATAGGTGTTTACCTAAAAGGTTTTGATTAGATTAAATAATTTTAACTAGTGAGATTCCCATAATTTCTTTATATATTTCTTTCAGAGTATTAAAACTGAAGCCACCTTAAACTACTTCTATTCACTAATTATTGTATAGGTAGCAGACTAGTCTTGGGTATTATGTATAATACAATTAAAGGCACACTTGAAGAGAAGAGAGCTTCAATTAATGTACACAAACTGTACTTTAAAAACGATAATAATTTAAAGCGCCCAAAATAATGGTACCCAATTTATTTCGTTTTTGCGAATAGTGCTAGTACTTTTTTTGATCAATAAGAAAAACTAGTGTCTAGGTACTGATCTGAATATAATTATATTAAATACAGATAAACTACTACAGAAACGGGTTTCATACTTGAATGCTGAGAGCCTTGATACATCATGAGCATCTACTATGACCGATCAAGGCAYTCCAGCCTTTTTGCTTGTTATTTTTTTATTGTAAAATATTCGATTATGTGGTATGGGTAAGTAATAAATACTAGCAAATAGCAGTTAACACAGGCACGCGGATACCGAGCATTACACTTGTTAAAAGTTGTTTTTCTTTAGAAAATACAGGTATATCGTAAATGCATAAAATTAAAATAGGTATACGGTATACCAGTCGAGGACGATTGAACACTTCGTAATAATTGTTTAAATAATAACGAAGTATTTACAACAAATTTGACTAGGTTGTTAATAATATAATGTGATTGATCTGTGCTATATCCTAATGCCCCAGTCTTCTTTGATCATGTCTGCTCCCTTTTCGCCGATCATAATCGTCGGAGCGTTGATGTGTGCTGCCGGTAYTWCCGGCATGACCGACGCGTCGATGACTCTCAATCCGCTCACGCCGTGCACACGCAATCTGGGATCCACCACGGCCGTGGGGTCACCCACCGGTCCCATTTTGCACGTGCCCGACAAGTGATAGATGGTAAAACTTATTTGTCTCGCTGAGCATTTCCAGTACGCGTCTGTGTCGAATTTGTGTCGCACGCAACCCGGCAATGGGGTGTCGAACAACGTGGCGTTGAGCTTCTTCATAGCGTTGGTTTTCAACATTTTTTGGAAAATCCGCACCCCGGCTACGGCCACATCCAAGTCCGTCTCGTCAGAAAAGTAGTTGGGATCGATTAGTGGATAATGGAACGGGTTTGCGTCTTTTAACCACAGTCGACCTTTGCTTTTCGGTCGCATGATCATTGGGAACACCGTAAACCCGTCCATTTTTTCAGTTTTCTTGTACACTTTTTCATAAACTTCGGATTTCAAACCAAACAGTCGGTGAGTGTAWTCGTTGTCAGAAAATAGCCCGGAAATTAATAGTAATTCCAAGTTCGGGTGTCCGTCTGCCAACCCCAGTCGGTCTAAATCGAAGAATGCCAAAGCTTCCGCACCACCCGGAATTGTGTACGGACCTTTAGAATTTTTGAGGTACTCGTTCGTATTAAATGGATCCTTCATTAATCGTTCGGTTTTCAATGAAATTGTATCATTTATCAAAGCGCTCAAGCCTCCCAGTGCAACGTGATCCATCAAATTCTCACCAACCGGCAAGTTTTTTACTAATGGAATTTTTAAATCTTTCAAGTGTTCTTCCGGTCCAATCCCCGATAGCATAAGTAACTGTGGCGAGTTTATGGCTCCGCCAGAAATAATAACTTCTTTGCGCGCAAATACTCTATATTTTTTACGATTTGATACGAATTCTACTCCTATTGCTTTTTTCGTACCTTTTTCTATTAATATTCGTGTCACAGTGCTGTACTTTTTCACATGCAAGTTCGGTCTCATTCTTGCGGGAAATAAATACGCTGCATTTGTACTAAAACGACGACCGTTCTTCATGGTAGCCTGGAAAAAATTCGTTAAAATAGATAATTAAATAAATAGTTTAGGTCCTGAGAAGGTCAGTCTATTTATTATATAATTTTGCTTCTGTGTGTGTATTTGATATTTGTATTTATCACGTATAAAATCCAAAAATATATTAGGTTTTATATCCATCAATTAATACGTAAATAACTCAGTCTACTCAAAATCAATAATTTATTGCTAATATTTAATAACCTACCTACCTAATAGGATAGGTCAATTATATTATAGCTGATACATTATTATACTAGTAATCAGCTTATATAACTTATAGGTAGCCAGGTAGATACTTGATTAATTAGGTAGTTAAAATTTAATTTCATCAATGCTAGACACTAGATCGGTGGTACTTGGCAGGTAGGTATACTAAAGTTCGGTAGAAACTAAAAATAGAAAAATGTATAGAAACCCACTCATATAATATGTCTTATACCTATATAGTATATGTAGTTTTAAAATGAAGTTGAACTAAATAGAATGAATATAAAATTTATTAAACTAGTCTAGCCTAATAAATTAAGCGTTTTGAAATTTTTAGTTGCCTTGTCGTAGTTTCTGAACGGATCGATGAATGTATTGGTGTTACACAGATGTGAGTCTACATCCCTCATTTTTAAAGCAGTAAAAATGATCGGGGTAACGTAGAGGGAGGTTTCTAATAGCAAATTAAATTGTATCTTAGAGTTGAAAACTAAAAAATACACAATACTTTTCAAAATAATCAGGAATAACTAAAAATTATGGTAAAACGGAGACAGTGTGAAGATAGTTCTGTAAGTAAAAAATGGTGGGTGAGTTGCCCATGATGATTTAGAGTAAGTTAGATAAGAATTAAGTATTCTATAGGTACTAATAGCCCAGTTACCTAGAGGAGTTGAAGTAAATTATGTCGGCTTAAGTTTAAATTTATTTGAAAAATTCATGAAATTGAAACGAATAAATTGGTCAAATAATAAATTATTTTTTCTCACATAATATAAGTTCGAGCGGTCACAAAACCGGGGATATTTATCCAAAACCTGTTTTCGACAAAATTCGCCAACACATAATCTTAAGAATGGAAATTTTCAATTTTTTTTTTTTTTGTCTATACTGAATATAGTTCTATAGAAAATAACCTTGAAAAACTTTATATACAAGGTAAACTCATTTCCTAATAAATTGTTCTTACTTCAATTTAAAAAAAAAAGGTGGACAAGTGGGTACCGCTTTGGTGTACTGCAGCTAGTAGTTGTCGAGCATGTCGTTGAATTTTTGTATAACATTTGGACTCGATTATAAATAAATCATTGCTTACGTAAAACGATTCTGGGTGGAGTCATGTCATCCTAGCATATTTTATACAAATAATCAAATTGTGTGTTTAAAAAAAAAATAATAATAACCTAAAATATATCTTATGGCTATAAATAAATTACTTTTCGGTGAACTTTTTTATTTTGATTAAGGTAGAGGAACTTGTTGATAATCTTCTATAATTGCTTATGTTACGCAGCTAACATAATTGCTTATGTTACGCAGCTAACATAATTGCTTATGTTAGCTGCGAAAAGAAAAGCTCTTATGGATGAATAAATTACAAAATTTGAAAATATGATCATGTCTATAAATATTTCAAAAAGAGTCAAAATAATTTGGACATTTTACAATGGAAAATGCTAGTATAAATATTTGATGCAAACATTTCAAGAGTCTGTTATTTGTTTTGGAAAAGCAACAAAAGCAACAAAATATCAAAAATCGATTAATGAGAATTCGTTAATTTACCGTTGATAATCCGGCTGAGGGTGAGTTGCGGCCCGACCTTTCATTTCCGGTGTTGGAGACCGGTGAATTCCAGCCCGATAATATTTTAGCCTTTAGGTATAGGTTAGTTGCGGCCCGAGTAATTATCATTACATATGTACCTTACTTATATAATATATATTATATTATATACCTAATACCTATTACCTGTGTACCGTATAAACGAAATGTTCAATACGTATAGGAAGTTATATTTTTGTATATAATATGATAAAGATAATATAGATCGTTTTATCGTATTATCTGCCATATTATATGACTTACATTATGAATGCTTTGATTTTTTTTTKGACATTATTATCATAATATATTACACCAATTATATTATATTCTATAATTTTATGAATACTTTTATTTTCCTTACGACCAATATTAATATAAGTACGACAATTTATACTAGAAAATACCTACATAATATTGTGATGTTTATATACTATTACTATACATTTATAGACATATAGTATATAATATATATATATGTAATATATACATTATTGTATGGCCGCAATTCGTACGTACCTTTCATAAACCCGGGACGCAACTCGTACGTGCCTCTCATAAACCCGGGCCGCAACTCGTACGTTATTTAGGGTTTTGGGCCGCAACTCACCAACAGTGGATAATCCAATATAGTAGGTAGGTAATGATTTTAAATTCAAACGCTCATAAAAAATAAATTGTATATATAATAAAATTTTACTTTTGTTAAACTTATTTTTTGTTTAAGATAGAAAAATTATGCAGGAAACTTTCACTGAAATTTCGAATGTCAGCTACGAACGGAACATTTTTAACGAATTTCAATTGCAAAATACTTCAAACATTTACGAGATTTTGATGAATTTTGTCAAAGTTTGAAATTTAACTGCGTATAACAAATAATGCGCCTATATATCTTTAATATTAATGTACTTCCATTAAAGAAACTTATGAGGAATCTTACATAAAATTGCTAAGCTTTTTTACTTAGTGAAACATTTTTTACCCAGAATAATTTCAAAAAATTTCTCAAGGATATAAATATTGCTTAAAAATAATTAGAATTTTTCGAAAACATTATTATCTATGGATAGTGAAAATGTAAACTTTTAGTGAGCATTTCAAGCGACAACGATTATTAGTTTTCGAATTTAGCTAAAAAAAATTAAACGTTTTTAAAAAATTGTGTTTAAGTAAAAATTACCATTTTTTTATAACGCTTTTATAGATAGCTTATAGAAGCTACCATACATTTTTATTCTTAAACTTTTCAAATTTGAAAAGACCCAACTAGATTCACTTTTCTATCAGGGAAGATACTGATGTCAAAAATTAGAATACTTTTACTTTTTTCTAACGCTGTTGTTGATAAACAAAAAAAAAACGCACATATATCATTGTAAATATAATACATTAATTCAATCCGCTCAGAATCTAATATCGAATACATACAGTGACAAATTTTTTTTACAAACGCGATTAAAGAATTAAATTTCCGAAATATATCTAAACCACAATAATATGTAAATAATTTTGCTATTACAAATTAACATATTTTTAATTTTAACCTAAGACTTAAAACCCTGGAATTTTCCAAAATTTAAAATGTTTGAACTAAAATGTTCAGTTTAAAAAAAATAGAGTAAAATAATGACATTAATAAAATAATAAGTTTATTAATTTTGATATGAAACTTGTAATGAGGCGGGTGAAGTCTGGCTGTGTTGGCGTGGTGACGCATTAAGCTGCGTCCACACCTGAGCACGCACAGACCAAGCATGTGTGCTCTCGTTGTGCGTTCTACAAATTTACATGATTTTGACACACAGCGAACGCGAGCTGAGTCGGTCGGCTCGGCGTGAGCACACATGCTCGGTCTATGCGTACTCAGGTGTGGACGCGGCTTAAAAGTCGCAACGCGAGCATGCACGAACACATTTTGAACACACTTTTATTTGTTTTTGAAAACCAGAAATTTTATTTTAAATGTAATAATAAAGTAATGGCTATGAACAATGTTTGATGAAAAAAAAGACAATTTTTAATAATTGTTTATTGTGGTATAAACCTATGTTTTTAATAAATATTTAATTAGTGTTTTGTGTATAATAATCTAGTTAATCTGTAAATATTTATCCTATTGGTTCTAAATAAAATTTTCAAGAACTGTTTGTTTGAACTTTTAAACTTTATTTTGAAGTAAAATGTAATACAATATTATTCAAAAGTCGATCTTATACCGTTCTAAAGGTATCGAAAACATATAGGCTCAATTTTTCTTGTAGACAATTTAGAATTCTAATTTATGAAATTGGACGTTTAAACGAAAAGTAACGATTTTATAGTAATTACGTCGTAATTTTATATATATTAACTTACAACTTTTCGATATTACAAATACTATTTTATAAAAAAAAATAAAAAATTTAACCTAATTTTAAACAATTATAATTTCATGAATCTATTATTCTATTGTTCTGGAGTTAAGTCGATATTGACTTGATTAGTTAAAAAAAATAATGCATGATATAATTTATTTTAATAATTTATAATACATAATATATAATATGTGTGATGTTTTTGGAAAAATAATTCCAATCTTCCGCCCATTTTATAACAGAAAATAATTATTAGGTACTTAATTACTAAACTACTATAATTACTACTATAAATTTATAATAAAATATCCTTGGAAGTTAGTGACGAGCTATCATTTTTTTTGTTGATATGTAATGGCATATTATTTAATTAAAATAAAACATCCAATAACGTACACTGAAAATCTACTCAAATCACGTGATTTCACAACGGTTGAGTAATAATTTTTAAAAGGTATGTTGTTCAGTTAGATTTAAATGTGACTTTTTATTTATAATTATATATATATTATATTATATTATATATTATATATCATATATATTATATTATAATTATTTATATATCAATTACTATTTACAAAAAACTCCAAAATAATGTTTTATAAACTATACAGAGTGATTCTATTGTCAATGAATACTCGTTATTTCAAAAAGTATTGACATTTTACCAAATATTTTTTTTTAAATTTAAGCCTCATACTTTTCTACATATTTGTTAAGTTTCAATATTTAACCCTTATATTAATTGGGTAAACTACTATCAATGTTTGATTTTCAAATGGGAATCCAAACTAAAAAATGTATAAACTAAAAAAGCTATTTTTTTTTTAT